TATGGTAAATTTATAATTTTTAATAAATTATAAATATTATATTATATTTTTATTTTTACATTATATTTTATTTAAATCTTAAATAAAAATTTATATAAAATTAATTATAAATATTATAATTAATAAAATTTAACTTATATCATAATAACATATATTAAAAAATCTCTTATAATAAATTAATAAAAAAAATTTACAATCAATACAAGAGCACGAGTTAGGTAAGCCTTTGTTTTTTCTCCACAGTTGTAATTAAATGGGGGCTGCAGATGCATTGGTAGCTCGAACGTGCATGTTAGACATTTGGCTATTAAATATTTTGTTGGGATTAGGGAATTTATCTTGTTTTGTCTATATGCCCCACGGAACCGAACTGCAATAAGAAGGTAATGTAAAACATGTACTTCTACAATACAATCCCAAAGGTGTGCTAGTCAAGCTCCACCTTCATTTGTTTATAATAAGGGCAACATAAAAGGCACAACTAAAAGAAGCACTTGTTCTTGTCCCTTAGAAATGTATATATTTTAATGATGATTATTTCCAGGTGGTAGTTTAATTGATGAGATTTTCTATGCTGTCTCCAAGGGTATAATTAATTAAAGGAGAATGTAGTTAATTTCATTTAAATTCTTATTACTAGTACAGAACTATTTTTTTTTAGAGGATAAGGAGAATGTAATTAATTTTTTTTATAAATTTGTTAATCTTGAAATGAAAAGTTTACTTTTATCGAATAAAAAAGATTCATTTATACATAAATTTTATATATTATATTTACATAAAATCTTAATTATTTATCTCTATATTTATAATAATTAATATTTATAAGACTTTTTAAATAAAAAATAATTATTTTTAATAAATATAAATAAATTTTAATCATTAAAAATAAAAAAATAATTAATTAATATTTATATAAATATAATGTATAAAAATTATGTGTAAACAAATTTATACTATCCAAATTTAGTAATTAATTTAGAATAAAAAGTTATTGAAATTAAATAAGAGTAATCCTCCACAAATTTTAGGGATCGCATCTTAAATAGGAGTTGTAACTTTTGTTTCTACATTTATTTTCAACCTAAAAGGTAGACAAAAATGGCAATGATAGAAGAATATTACTTTTTATCTTTCCAGTATATACCCTGGAGTCAAATTAGAGTAGCCAACTATAACATTTAATCTTATAAAAATACATTAATTTGATTAGATCGGAGATTTATTAATTGGAGTAAAATAATATTGTACCCCACTATGTAGTTTTGGACCACAAGATAAACAAATCACATTCTAGAAAGTGAATAGGACGGATCCCACGATTAATTATATACTTAATTACAGAAGGAAAATCATCTTTTTTTTTTGTGTTGATTGTATAATAAAAGATAATTTTTTCTCATCTTTTATCATATTTCACTTGTATGTTATATAATTCGAATTCAAAATTTTTTACTTTTAATTAAAAAAAATTAATACTGAATTATTTAAATTGTTAATAAAAATCATTTTTTTAAACTCCTCCAACTTTACAGGAAATTTTGGTTTTTTTTTTTGGAACTTGAGAGAATTGTGGGAAAATGGAATGGGGTTGGTTCTCACATTCCACACCTGATGCCATCCATGAAGAAAATAGCTACCCGGTAGGTCAAGAATAAGAGTAGCCATTCCGTTCCTATTCTCGTGGGGAAAAGTTCCAAGAACCTTTTTGAACTTAGGATAATTGTAGGAAATTGGAATGGGGATGGGTATCTAACAGTCCACCCCTGACGCCATCCAAGAAGAAAATGGCTACCAGGTAGGTCAAGAATAAGAGTAGCCATTCCGTTCCTATTTTCGTGGGAAAATGTTCTAATCCAAAGACACTCTACACACACATACATACATATATATAGTGTAATAAATGTTTTAAGAGAGTATTTTAATGGTTAAAAAATTAAAATTTTAAATTAAAGATTTTAAATTATAACATTAAGACAGATGGAAAGAGATGATTATTATATATTATATAATTTATCATATGATATACTAAAAAGAAAAGGTTGCAATAGATTTATGATTCTTTTTTTTTTTTTTGCAAAATTACCCAAAAGAAGAAATCCTTCACTAGTGGGCCTTTTGGGCCTTGCATGGCCTTATAGACATAATGGCTAATGGGATGTTTTCTGGTTTGGGCCTGATCGTTATTCGGTGACCTTAGTGGGCCTTGCAAAACCAGAGGCTGATTCTACTTTTCTTCCCTTTGATCGTCTTCCCCTTCCCCGATTCTGTTGTGTGATAACTCCATCTAGGGTTATACAGAGTCAAATTGTTTGACCACGATCGGCGAGATGGGGAATCAAGGTGCCAAGAAGCGTAAGGAACAGAACGCCCGCCACATGACCAACCTCCGCCGCCTCATCATCGCCTGCAACGTACGTTCTCATCATCTTCTCCATTTTCCGATTTCATTCCACCATTTCCTCAGCTGCAAAACAGCTTAATTTACTTTATACTATTAAGACTTTTTTTCTTTTTTTGCACCAATTGTATAGCTATTACCTCTATTTTCTCAAGTGGGAAACATGCTCAACAAGATCACAGATCAAGTTTTAGGATTAATCTTGAATTGAATGCAGCTTCTCCAAAATGTTTGCTTAATTCTTAAAAATAACCCAATCGGATTCCAGCTGCTCATTCAAGTTGTTTATAACATTGGATATTTTGTTCAATCTGTTTATAATTTCATGGAAGATTAATTCATTGAATTATGATATTTTTATGTTATTTTGTGTGTATATATGACAACAAATTTCCCCTTTTTTATTCATAGCCTCTAGTTCAATTCTGCATTTTCTAACCCATGAAATGTTTTTCTATATTGTTTTTTGTCTGATATATAACTTTTTGTATGATGACTATCCCAAGTGTCAGGTACTTAATGCTTTTGTTATTATTATTACTCTTCTGGTTCTTATGTTTCATGGTGGAGAAAAAAGTGGGTATTTGTTTAAATGTTGGGTCTTTAGTTCCTTTAGCCTCCAAAGTTGTATCATTGGGACGGGCAACGAAGTTCTAATTTTCTGTTATGTAGGTTATCTATGTCGTGGTCAGGTTGCTGATCTTTCATTCCACATTCACTTGGAAACATTGGATAGGTGTAATTTTGACTTCTGCGGCTTATGTGATTCCCTATCTACAACTTGCCCAGATGGCAAAACCCACTTATGCTGATGATGGGGATCTTCTTGATGGGGGATTTGATATGAGTACAGGTGGAATATGTGGGTATGTCATTTTCTTCTTTGTTGTTTCTTCCTTCGGGTTTAATGTGATACTTCTGAATTTGGTCCATTTTAAAGAGGATAAGCTCTATCAAATGGTATTTGGTTGCTGTTTAGTTTTTTCTTGAGCATTGTTTAAGACTATCCCGCAGCACAGATGCCCATTTGGGCTAGAAAGATGTTTTAGTGTGCTAAAATTTGTTCACATTTGAGTTCTGCTCAAATGGCTAATTGCTTGAAATTGTTTTCTTATGGATCGGTGTCTTTTTTTTTTTGGTGTGTGATAAAATATGCTTGCCTTACAGTTCCTCTTTTTTGCAGCTATCTACATGATATAATCTACATTACAAGTTTTGTGCAACTAATGTCCATTATCTCGGAAAAGTTTTGGTATGTCTATCTTGTGGTAAGTTTTATTTACTTGATTTAGTCAGAGATAGCATTGATAAAAATGCACCATGCCTTAGGTCCATTTTTTGGGACGTAAGAAGAGCATTTTGTAGTTTGGTTATTTGGGAGGTCAACTGTTGCATTTGTTATCAAATTTTCTCAGTGAAGTAATACTCTAATCAATAGAAACTGCTGAGAGGTTTAGCTTTCAAGTTTCACCAATAGAAAGTCCTATTCTAATCAATGTCAGCAGCAACGTAAAAATTTTAAATCTAATCTGGAATCCTTTGATTATTTTCACTTAAAAAAGAAATAGATACTAGTTGAATAGAGTCATAATGAACGGATCTGTTGCTTTTCAGATACCAGCATTTGGAGCATACCAATGTTTTGGTTTCATAAGAGGATTCCTGCCGCAAGGTTCAGAGGTATATTCACATTTCTTCATTTTCTTTTTACCTTGTCAAATGAAAAGGAATGTCCTCTGTGCTGAGCATAATGGGTATGCATATTTATGAATTAGGGAGAAGTGGAAGATGAAAAGACTCGCAAGAAAAGGGAAAAGATGGAGAAGAAGGCGGCACGTCCCAAATTTGTCAAGACGAGGACTAGATAAAATTTAGCCAGTTCATTGACACTTGGTTGAAATGAGTTCCCTTGGATGATTGAAAAAGTCACATCTAACTTCAATGAGTTGACAAATCTGATCTGGTGTAAGTTTGCAGAAGTTTACCGTGGTGGATAAACTATGTATTTTATTTTATTTTTTTCTTTGCCTGGTGGAAATGAAAAGGTTAGAAATTTTGACATGACATCCTTTGCAGGTCGCACGTTTGTTGTTCATTCATGTATTATTACTTCAGCTCAGACTGCTACAAGTAGGATGTAGCAGTTCAATAAAGACACTTCAAAATTCTAACCTTGTTATCAGTTCAATAAACAAATTTCTAATAACGGTATTGTCACCATATTTTCACCAATGACTTGTTGGTTTGGTTTGAGTGAAAGGAGTTCAATTTCTCTTAAGCAAGATTTCAAGTTCGAATGGAAAAACAGACGTTAAGAGAGCTTTCTTCTTAATAAGGTTTGACGCAGTTCGATTATAGATTCATCGAGATTCAATATAATTACCAGATATCGGAGGTTAATACAAAAAAAAAACCATATTTTCCTCCAAGATGAAGTTGTTCATTTCAAACCATGGATTGATATCCAGTCTCTGGATTCAAGCTGTGTCATCGAAGGTTGATAAAGAAGCTTTCGACTTGAGAACATCACTGGAAGAATTCGTGGTGACGAAGAGGGCAATTGTTGCAATGGCGTTGTTAGCTACATGCAAATTTCAGGAAGTAAAACACGATGTCACCCGATTCATCAACGCTTATTGCGTCAATGGAGTGGGGATCACACGCTGGAACATGTAGAACAATGGATACATGGAGTAGGGATATCTCTCGCTGGAACATGTAGAACGATGGTTACATTCTTTTCAGACATGGTGTTGAGGATTTCTCTGACATGAATTAGGAGAGGTATGGTGATTTAGACTGTTTTTAGCACAACCTTTTATATGTATCTCTGTTCTAGTGAGCTCTTTGTAACCGTTTACAAGCAAATCTTGCATTCAGGGCAAAATTCTAGTTCCCACTCTATTTGATTAACGTTCTGCTATCAGGTGAGGGCTCAAGAATGGTATTAATCTTAACATGTCAATATTACGTAATAATATTTAATCGTCGAGGAGTTCACATTCAATTCTCTGAAAATACAACTTCTTACCAGGAATATCATAGGCTATGTTGTAATTCTGTTGAGCCATTATTCCAACTAAAGACAAATCCGTGCGGATGGCATGGCTAGGAAACACAGACATGCAGACCTCATACTGCCGCCTCTGGAAAAACAAGCTCTCAATGTCTAATACCAAATCGGCTCCTTCGGCAAAGTGGAATGTCACGGCCGGAAATCCAATAAGGTCTTGACTCAATATTCCCTGGTAACACAACGGCCATGGCTCAAATAAAAGCTTCGTCAGCCTCACATCTAACAGGTTCTGAACTTCGGATTGAAGTGTCTCGTAGGCTTCCTTGACTAGCCATGTTGCTGGGGAGCCCGAATCAATAATTACTCCACTTCTGTTCTTTGATTTCGTTTTGAATATGCTTGGATCAATGTCGAGCCTCTTTTCTCCTATGCTAATGCCTTGAAGATCGATGTAGTAATGTCCATTAATCACTTCTAAAGGTGTTGAATATCCTTCCAACTTAGCTCCACTACCTAGAACCAACTTGTTGTGACTATAGGTAGTGTCAAACAGATTGCTGATGCAATAAGAGAACCTCGAACCCAAATGACTAACCAATGATACTGGTTTGTAGCCAAGTCCCAACACACCGCTTGTGCGGCCATCTTTGAAATTTCCATTGTTGTGACCGCATCCAAATACCACATTGGGCACGGTGATTATGCCTTCGTCTGATGTCTCAAATGTGACTTGTTCCATGGCAAGGATTCCAGTCGAAGGGGGGCCTTTAACATATGTCTGGCTGTATGTACATTGGTTGAGTGAATTGCAAGAAGGGTGTCTGGAATAGCTGCAGTAATCAGAATCACATGGCAATTAAGCAAAAGTGGAGGATTTTGTAGGATCAAATATTGGAAAATGATGTTGGGAGCATTGCATACAAGGGAGGCATTGAACCCATAAAAGGCTACTTCCCGTGTCCATGATGGTGAATTGAGGGATAGGTGGTTGTCCAATGGACAAGTTTGCAAGGAACATGAAGCTGTTAATACTAGGGAGAATGTTGGCCTGAATAGCATCATCCATGGTTGTAATTCTTTGCAACTGTGAGATCGATACTTCCACGGCTCGTTCCATGCGATCTATGGCGTTTGCCTTGGGACTATGATACGGGGAATGGATGGAGTCACGGTGGATGAGTTTAATGGCTACCGGTTTAGGTGTTGCCACGGTTGTTGTAGGGATGGACAAGACAAAAATGGTGAGGATGAAGAGAGGTAGGGAGGGAACAGCTAACAAGGTTTTCATTATTCCTAGAATGAGTCATGGGTTGTTTTGGCACGGCCATTTCAGATCTTAAATACATTACACAACATTGAAATATATCATCACACAGAAGTCATTTAATCCTTAGCAACTAATGTTTAAGCACATTTGAGAGTAGTTGAGAGCGGATGGATTGGAAGGCCTAAAGAACAATATAATATTGGAATAACCCAACGATCATGGTTTTTTGATGAACATAGAAAAGAATCAGTGCAGACAGAAGTAAAAACAGCCATAGAGGGCGTGATCCTGCTAAAAGGCACAAGCACCTCCAGAAAACGACCCAACTCAGGACTCAGAGTTCTGACTTAGTACCTCTCAACAGATTAAAAATAAAATAAAGAAACAATATTTCCTTTTTATTTCAAAGAAAAAATAAATAAATAGCAAAAGTTAGGTAAAAAAACAAAAAGACAAAAAAAGAGAAACTTAAATAGCCAAAGTTTGGTCAAAAACCATTAAATTCATTCCAGTACAAAGTAGTCTTTGTCTCACACTTTAGGAGCAGGGTATCTGATGCTGTTTCCCTCCCTACCCAACAAGAGGGTACTCATTGCACATCCCCACTTCTCCATTTGCAGACATATTGTGGAAAAAGAGATATTTACATTAAGATCCCAGAAAGCTGGAAAATTAACATCGGGAAGATGAAGACTAACATAAAACTAATTAAACTACCTCTTAGAGACTTTGGCTTGTAAAGAATTTATAAAAGAATTCTTTCCTCTATGTATGTTGAACTTTTTCTTTACTCTTATCTTGGACCGGAGAGCTCCATGGCATAGGAATCCGAAGATTTATCATCATCATCATCATCATCCTCATCCATTGCCATGCCAAAGCTGTTGCTCGAAGGATCATGACACTTGTCATTGTGTTTAGATGTAGTGGTTGGGTGTGGAGTACTTTTGTTCTTGAAATTTCCATGAAGAAGGCCGGTTGGGTGACTATGATTATGTAGCGCTGCCCATTTCTCAGCAAGACCATCACCTTCAAGCATTCGGACCACTTCTGACATTTTGGGACGGTGGGATGGAAGGTACTGAGTACAAAGCAAAGCCACTTGGAGCATCTCCCCCACTTCAATTCTGTCATAGTTGTTCCCAAGCTCTTTGTCCACCAACACTTCCACTCTCTTTTCCTGATGAATTTTCTTCACCTGTATACAAACACCATAAATATATGGCATTTAACTCCATAGAAAACATTATATGAGTAATTGAATGAAGATATCTCAGTTACTAGAATCAAAAGCAAGAATAGTTAATGGTAAGGGCAGAGTAAATTTACCCACTCAAGCATGGCTCCTTTCTGACTAACAGTTTTACCAAATTCCAGAGCTCTCATCCCAGTTACCAGTTCTATCAGAAGAATGCCAAATCCAAAGACATCAGTTTTCTCAGATGACTGGCCAGTTGAGAGGTACTCAGGTGCAATGTGTCCAACAGTGCCACGGACAGCAGTGGTGACATGGGAATCAGCATGGTCAAGGAGCTTTGCAAGTCCAAAATCACCAACAATGGCTTCACAATAATCATCTAGCAGCACATTAGCAGCCTTTACATCTCTGTGGATTATCTTTGGATCACATTGCTCATGTAGATACAGCAGACCTCTTGCAGCTCCAATGGCTATCCTCTTCCTTGTGTTCCAGTCTAATGCAGGTTTTCCTATCATAAAAGTTCATTACATCAGACATACACTAAAATTTGTGCTCAGCAGGAAAACCAACAGCAATTTTGTATTAGAATTCCCTTTCCATTGTTAATTTCGATTTGACTCTGGAAATTTCACAGAATTAAGAGTTGGCATTTATTCAATTAACCACAACCAATCAGTATCATTTTGCACCAGAGTCTAAGTGAACAACTGACCATGGAAGCCAAGAGACTACATTAACATTGGTTAATGAACAGAAAATGAAGAGATAAACCAGATGTGAACTACAACAAAATGGACAACACTCTTGGCATTCACATTCAACCCAACCACGAGAAAGGAAAAATTAAGGATCTAGCACGATAATTTATTTTCCTTTTGGAACTCAATAGAAAAGGCAAATTTCAAAGATTAGCCCAAAAAGAAAGTATGCCCCCAATAGACGAAAAACCCAAAAATTATTCTCCAATCATAAGAATCTTGATTCTTGAATTAGAATTATACATTGTTAAACAAGTAGCAACAACTTAGAGCTACCCTACTTAGGTCCAATCAGCATAATCTGACAAAAAATTTCACCATCATTGTACACATTAATGGTAACACATAAAGTGGCCAACAGTACTTTGACAATCACATTCCTATCAATAACAATTTATGAGTGACAGGTTAGTACTAACCTCTAAGTCTGGATGCAACACTGCCATTAGACATGTAGGGATAAACTAGAAGTCTCTCACTAGAGGTGGCACAAAATCCAATTAATCGAAGCAAATTCCGGTGGACTGCCAAGCTGATCATCTCCAACTCGGTCCGGAACTGTGATTCTCCAAAACTTCCAGTCAGATCTTTTAGCCTTTTAACTGCCACCAGAGTCCCATCTCCCAACTTTCCCTTGTATACATTACCAAAACCTCCGGTGCCGAGTATATTCTTAGAGCTGAAGTTGTCTGTTGCAAGCTGGAGTTCTCGGAGAGTGAAGTTTCTCAGGTTGCCTAGGCTTACCAGCCCGTCTTCTTGTTTCTCTGTACAAACAAAAGTACCTAATATTGTGACTTCTCTTTTACAATAAAAGACACAATAACTCCATGATTCTATTTTAATATCACTAACCACCAATGTTTAAGATGATTAAGTTCCTCCGCGTCTTTCTGCGCCAAAGTAGTCCAAGAGTCACGAGTACAAGAGCACCAAAGCTAAGACTGACCCCAAGGGCAACTGCTAATTTCTTCGACTTTTGTTCCCCTAATTTAGGGGGCAAAAGGAGGATGGATATAGATGTTTGAATGTTGGTTATAAAAAGGAAAAGGTAAAAAAAATCTAGACAGGGTAATGGGTGTTCTTTAGACTCTTACCATCTGATGAGCCTAGAGGAAAGTGAAATGGAACAACATTGGATGATCCAGAGCAAACTTGGGAAGACCTGCTTCCACAGATCAATGGATTCCCTACAATACTACATTCCACAAAATAAACAGGAAAAGCAATATTAGGATATGAAAAGTTTAACAAAAATAACATAGAGAAAGCATATGAGACAATAATACTTGAATGTTCTGGCAGGGAACTTGGGCACTGGTCCACTGAGATTGTTATAAGAGAGGTCCCTGAAACTCAGAACCAAATGATATACAAAAGAGTTACTAAATCAAAACATTGCAGGCGGTTTCAACTTTCAGGAACAGAAGCATTAAAAAAACAAACAAGAGTTGAGAAATCTATACTCACAAGAAAGCAAGGTCAGGGATTTTGGCCAGAGACCCAGGAAAAGGCCCGGACAAGCTATTGTTGTTGAGCCTCCTACATGCATTACATTCACAATACAACAGAATGCTTGAATTCCACAGATAGACAATTTTGATCAGATAAAACCATTAAAAAAAAAAAAAAACCTCCAATGGCATGCATGTGACTATAATACATTAAAAAAAAAAAAAAAAAAACCTCCAATGGCATGCATGTGACTATAATACATTAAGACTAAATGAGAAATATCAGCACAAACATTGTCAACTGTCAGATAAATTAATTTTATTTTCCCAGAGTTTTCTCAGCAACCAAACAGGAAATTGAAGAGAAAGAAAGTGAAGATTCTTACAGGTATTGGAGACTATGCAGTTGGCCAAATGACCCAGGAATTGCACCAGAAAATCGATTGTTAGAAAGATCCAAAGTCTGCAGCGCTGTCAGAGTCCCAAGCGGAGGTGGGATTTCACCAGAAATGTTATTGTTTTGCAATAACCTTCAAATTAACAGCAGCAAATCAGATCAATATCAGGGAGGGAAAGAGCAGAGGAAGGCTTAAAACCCCATGAAATGCATCTGAGAAATTACTAGCAGATGGGACAAGTAACACTATGATTATTATTATTTTTTATTTTTTATTTTTTTGAAAAAGGGAAAAGAGAAATTCGGGGCCTAATTGCCCATTTCTCTACCTTTCCCCCTTCTTTTCTCGGCAACCAAACAAACGCCAAAAGGAAGAAGGAAAAAAAAAAAAGACATCATAATTAGTAATAGGGTGTTTTCTTACACTTGTCGCAGATTGGTGAGATTTGCTATTGCCCCAGACAAAGTTCCTGATAAAGACTGACTTGGAGCACCCCTGAGAAATCCCAGAAATACATAACTGTTAATTTGAAACTCAGAAGAAACCAAACCAGAACCAAAAATGGAAGAAAATAATTAGGTTAAGGAAGAAGAACTTACAGTCCTATGACTAGATTTTCAGAAGAACAAGTGATCATGGCCCAGCTACAGGGATCAACAGAGTCTTCATCCCAGTTGTTCAACACCCCATTTGGATCATTCAATGCTCTCTTTATACTTATCAAAGCCTCAACTACAAACCCCAAACAAAAAAAAAAAAAATTAAAAACCCAAAACGGATGCAAACCCATGAATACAGAGACTACCAGTATTGTTTGTTTACCTTCATGGTTCCTGGGTTCATATGAAAGAGAAAAGGAAGTAGAGGAAAGAAGGAAGAAGGGGAAGCAGAGAAGAAAGAGGTGGATGGTGGTAACAGCCATGGTTATCATTGAACGGCAGGGAAAGAAGACGACGCCTGCATTCTTCCTCTCTACTATACAATGAAAATGAAAGCAAAAAAAAACGGGGAGGGTGTCTTTTCAGTTGCAGATGCTACTTTGGTCCATGCCTCGGGGACTCCCCGGAGTGAGCGTCTCTCTCCTTCCTTTTTCAGTCATCTTAGCACCAACTTTTGAAAGTAAAGGAGAAACATATTGGATCTTCTTTCTTCATAATAAAGCAGAGAAACGAACTTCATGAAAGGAGAAATGGTGTGTCTGTTTGTGCGGGGAAATTGAGAGAGACGTGAGTACTGGATTACCAAACTCGTACTCGCTGGACGGGCCTGCACCGTATTCAGGTAGCACGCGCCTCTCCCTTTAGCCAAAACTGAAAATATTAAGCCACTAGACTTTTCGTGTTTTCTCATATAAGCCTTTAAAGAAGGAAAAAGAAAGTAGCAACTAGCAAGCAAGCTTCTTAATGTTCGAATCTTATTAAATTAGTTATTATGTTAAGGGTGGCAATTACATGCTGTCATGTAAATTAGAGAATCATTTGAAATTTTGTTTTGTAGCATTCTTTTTACACCTAAGACTAACGTAGAAAAGAAATATTATATGATACTCATGATTATTGTCATTAGCATAAGGACTAAGTTGTTAAGATCAAAACATTTAAGGGTTTGCATGCCATTTTTTGGGCTTATGTGAGAAGATAGGAAAAATTCAAGGGCTTAAAACCCTTCCCTTATTCACCTTTTGTTTTAGTTTTGAAAAATGATTTAAGGGGTAATTTTTTTATTATATTTTATTATAATTTTTTATATTATTTAAATAATTAATTTTTTATTCATTTAAACTCTTAATATCTATATTAAATTATTTAATGATATGTAAAAATTATATTAAAAAATAATATAAAATAAATATCTCTATATTACCATGATTTAATTTTTGGTAATTTTTTAAAATCCTTACTACATTATATTAAATTCCTTCATAAAAATCACATTTAAAAAAATTAATTGCAATAAGGAGATTAATATTTTATTGTATTGTTTTAGTGGTCTTCGTTAGTCAAAGAAGAGAATGTTACTTTGATAAAATAATTATACTTTTATTTGTCTAATTATGGGTAGGGGTAAAACAGTTCATTTCATTTTAATGATATAAATCTTAAATTAAGTTTGTTTACTTTCTATCTCTCAATTAATATTTATAAAGAGTTTTAATCAGTTGAAAAAAATAAAAAAATGATAGTAGTAGTTGACAACCGTTATCAAATAATTAAATCAAATAAAATTTTAACTAATGTATTTCAATTGTTTAAAATGATGAAGGAAGCCCAAGTTGATTTTTTTTTTTTGTTTCTCACCCGACTTGTCCCAACTAATTTGAATCAACCCACATCATCCACCTAAAAATGATAGACGAGTCTCCCAATAAAAATTATTACATACACAAAATTTTAAACTTAAAATCTTATTTAAATTGAAATAAACTACTTACTACTTAATCCAATCCGCTGCTTCGCCAGTCCAAGTTGATTTGTAAATAACTTTTGTTCTATGAAATTAAAGAAGTAAACTTAAAAGTGTAGGTATTGTAGGCTGCTAATGGATTCTGACAACCATTATCTGATCTCCAATAACTGACAAAATTTTTTCACCCGAACTCCCATGTTTAGCCGTTTAAGTATAAATAACCATCAGCAGCCTCCTAAAGCCATAACTAACCCCCGCTTAATATAGTGAACAGTGTAAAATAGTTAGTGGATAATGCAATCTTTAAATCCGTATGGTCATAAAAAAAAAGTTTAAAAATATTTATAAATCCGTGCCCATAAGAAAGATTAGAAATAATA